AACCCTTACAGCAACAACCCTATAAACCCCAAACACTACAGAAACAACCCTACAACCCCAAACCCTACAGAAACCCTCCAAACCCCAAACCCTACAGGAACAACCCTCCAACCCCAAACCCTCCAACCCCAAACCCTCCAGAACCCCTACAAACCCAAACCCTCCAACCCCAAACCCTCCAACCCCAAAACCCTCCAGAACCCCTACAACCCCAAACCCTACAACCCTAAACCCTACAACCCCAACCCCTACAACCCCAACCCCTACAACCCCAACCCCTACAACCCCCAAACCCTCCAGAAACCCTCCAAACCCCAAACCCTACAGAACCCCTCCAAACCCTACAGAAACAACCCTACAAAAACAAACTATACAGGAACAACCCTGCAAAAACAAACCCTACAAACCCAAACCCTACAGAAACTCTCCACCCTCAAGCCCTCCAAACCCTACAGAAACAACCCTACAACCCCAAACCCTACAGAAACCCTACAACCCCAAACCCTCCAACCCCAAACCCTGTGCTGACCCCGCTGTTTCCCGCAGTCTCGCACGCCCGCCCTGGTGTTCGAGCACGTCAACAACACCGACTTCAAGGTGAGACCCCCTTGGGGGGACCCTTTGGGGGACCCTTTTGGGGTCTGTAGGGTCAGTGCCAGACCCCCCATCCTCTGATCCCGGCATTTTCCATGCGGGAATCGCATCCCCGGGGCTAAATCCCGGGATTTGGGGAGGAGGGAGGAGGGAGAAGGGAGCGGGGGTCCCGCTTTTCCCCTAATTCCTGTCCCTAATTCCCTAATTCCTGGTCCTGGATCCTGGGAGGGTCTGGGACCCCCTCCCGCTCCCAGGGCTTTTCCATGCGGGAATCCCATCCCCGGGCCAACCATGGGGCCGAATCCCGGGATTTGGGGAGGAGGGAGGAGGGAGAGGGGAGCGGGGGAGCCCCGGCTGTCCTGGGTGGGTCCCACTTTTCCCTGGTTTCTGTCCCTAATTCCCTAATTCCCGGTCCTGGATCCTGGGAGGGTCTCGGACCCCCTCCCGCTCCCGGGCTCTTCCATGCGGGAATCCCATCCCTGGGCCTGCTATGGGGCCAAATCCCGGGATTTGGGGAGGAGGGAGAGGGGAGCAGGGGGATGCTGCTCCCAGTGTCCCACTTTTCCCCCGTTCCTGTCCCTAATTCCCTAATTTCCTAATAATTCCCGGGGTTGGGCTCTGCTCTCCTGTTCCCATTCCCGCTCCCCGGGATGGGAGTGTTGGGCCCCTCCAGGTCCTGGATCCTGGGAGGGTCTCGGACCCCCTCCCACTCCCGGGGCTTTTCCATGTGGGAATCGCATCCCTGGGCCTGCTGTGGGGCCA